GTGCACTTTTGGACGCTACTAAACCCGCGTCGGCCTCTCGCATCAAACCGTTGGTTGAACCAAGGAACTTCGCGTTCAACATCGGCGAGTATGCGTAAGAACAGAGGACGACTCATCCGAAAACGATTACTAAAATCCTCCGGTGTATAAACACACGGATTATTAAAGTAGTCGTTTAGAAGTGAATCGTGGGCGGCCGCTCGATCCCGGTTTAGACGTTGGCGTCGGGTCCGTCGTCGGGAGGATTCGGCTTCTTCTTGGCCATCTTCCCACCATTGAATACAATTCGTCGCGAAACAACGAAAAAATAAAGCTCTTCTTTCATCGTCGGAAGATGAACCCATTTTTAAATTATATTTTATAAATATTTATAATAAATAATAAATATTTTTGAGAGAATATATAGTAATAAAGAGAGATTTGTTAGAGAGAAGTGTGAGGAAGATGTATGAGAAAGGGGGATTTTATAGTTTTTTTTTAATTTAGATTTTTTTTTTAATTGGGGGGAGGGGGGAGGGGTGGTAACGGCTCTATAGCTGTTGGGAAGGGTTGGGAAGGGGAACGGCCAAAAAAAAAAGGCCCTCACGCCGCATCAAACGAATGACGCAGCGCTCCTCACGCCCGTTTCACGCCGGCGGGGGGCGGTGTTTCACGCCCCCGGGGCGTTAAACGCCCCGTAACGCCGGTGGGCGTGAGGAGCATTACCAGTGCTCTAATAATCAATATGTTTCTATCTGGCGGTGCTTATTCACTTATTAGAGGCAAGCTATTTTAACTTTTAAGTAACTAATAAGTTAAATATTATTTTATAAAAATTAAATAATTTGAATGATAGATAAGATATTTTAACTTATAAGTAACTTATAAGTTAAAAATAAGTATGTAAAATCAACTTATTTTTTATGACTTATAAACAGCTTATAAGTTTGATCATAAGCACAGCGAAACACATAAATATATTCAGGCAAAAGGAGTGATTATTGTGGGAGTGACCTTTGTATGGGTAAATTTTCTATTTAATGAATGAATTAAATAAACACCATGTTTCACTCTTCATCCATATAACACCAAGAAAATGAAAGAAAAAAAACGGGGGGAAAGTAAGAATGAGGCCTAATTAAATACACTGGTTTTTTTGCCCCTCTTGCTGAATTCTTCTTTTCAGACAGGGGAATGCATATATTTTGTATAGATTTTGAATGACACAATGAAAATTGTGCATACCAAATCCTTCTTGAGATCCATAACCACTCTTGGAGATGGCAAGTTACTCCTTGCCGAGATCATCTTCTGGGACTTTGCTTGCTTTATTAGATAACTCCCGAATAGCCTGAAACGAAATACAAATAGAGTGATTAAAATTTCAAAACAGAAGAGGGCATTGAATAAAAGCAACAACTTTTCGGGGTTTCGGCTATATGGGGGTGGTGGGGGTGGGAGGGACGTTTGATTCTTTCCATGGTAATTAATTTACATGGAATCGCTTTGGGGGTGTTGTTGGCCATCGCCGAATAGTTTATTATACGAATGCCACTCTTAAAAACATCAATTTTGAGCTTTTACCGAGTGCCATCCGCGAAAGTAAATAAATTGAGGTGAAATTGAGCTGCAACCAATTTTTGTGTCATGCAAACACTCAGCCGTCTGTTTGCACATGCTAACCGATAATGGTAAACAGTCCTAAACACCCTCATTCTACTGTTGGAGGAATCGGATTCCCACCTTCTCTCAAGAGAACCAGTTTCTTTCTACGAACGGAAAATAGACTCATTTGACAAGTCCAGTTTATCATAGAGAGAATCAAAAGAGAATTATCAGTCACAGAACAGGCCACACAAATGTAGAAAGGAAAAAAGGCATCTAGTTCCTTATTCAAATGAGCTGCTAATGAGGCACTAGATAGAACCACATTACTTAAGTATTTGCACTAAATGTTATGTTACGCATAACAATTCATGGTAAAGGTGAAGGGAAAGACTACAAAAGGTCTCAACATGAGCATGAACTTCAGAGCCCTCTCTTTATGTATAACACGACACTAAAAGAGCCATGCAAATTGCATATCTAGGGCCTCAGCCCACACGTATTCAAATACTTTTTCTTGTGCAACTTTTTTTAAATAAAAATGTATATGAATGATCATATAAAAATGTACTTGTACATGAACAATAAAGGGTGCACAACTTCATGCTCATTATAGCATACTGACATAAACAAAATTGTGATTCCATCCCGATAAACACATGTGCATACAAAAAACCGAACTTTTAAAGGAAGCAAAAGGGGATATCTTTTTTCATAATTGGTTTGTTTCGTTCATTAGTCAAGTTTCAGATTATAACATTTCTTCCAAATAACTTTGTAGGTGTACATTCGCTTTTGGATTATCATAAAACTTTTTTTTTATCCATGATTAGCACTTTAGCAGTACCATGTATGTTTTAGTATGTAATTATAGCATCTTTACATTTGTGGCTTATGTAACATGAAGTTTGCATTATATAATTCTCCCACTGGTCAAGTAGTATCATAGTATGAAGTTATGAACTACACCGTAATAAAGAATCACAGATCTACTCAAACTTTTCATGCCCATACTTAAATATGGTAATACTGCATTTCTCAAATAGGCCATAGTTATTCAGTGCACTATACAATCGATACCACAGCTGATAACTTTTAGGCACCATTTGGTAGCTCTCTCTAGTCTTTAGCAGTAGCATTGTGATTTCCCAACCAACCTCCTTTCCTATTTTTCATTGGCACATAGAACTAAACACACAACACCACACTTAGAGTTAAACACAGCAATGGTAATGGTAGACCTCGATTCTCAAAGCATGGCCGCATATGGATTCTTAAACTGATTTGATGAACAACTGACTTTCTACTCCAACAGTTAGTCAACTCTTCACCTCACAATCAATATCATGATAGCAGGGGGGGGGCATAAGTCTGAAAAGTTGAATAGAAAAAATAAGACAGGACACTAACCGACGTGTGAAGAGGTGGTGCTTCAAAATAGATGGAGCGAATGGACATCTTAGCGATCTCGGAAATGGCAGTTTCTCGCACTTCGGGCTCATCGCTGGTTAAGTCCTCGTAAGCAGCCTCAAAGGCTTGCTGCCAGAACTTCGGCAATCTGATCCGACGACCATTGGTGTACACATCCCACATATGCTTCACCATCTTCTCTCTCTCCTCCATTTCCTGTCAAATTGAAGAATTTTCCCACCCCATAAATTGATTGATGGACTTGTATTCCACCCAAGTTAATATTGAGTAACCCATGGTAAGAAAAATAATCTTGTGTATTTAGAAATCTCTCTCCCCCCTCCTGGCATTGAGGGGCATGGAGTAAGGGTCTGTTTGGTATACGGAATTGGTGGAATTGGAATTGAATTTGAATTGGGATTCCATGAGATTCAATTCCATAGAATTGAATTCACCAATTTCAATTCATTTTTTGCACTATCAATTCCAAATCCACATAATATTTGTGCTACCAAACACCAAAATTGGAATTGAAGTCCTCAATTCCAATTCCATAATTTGAATTCCTTGTACCAAACGGGGCCTAAGAGTATTTATAGGAACAAGGTTCAATCCAAGTGTCATGTCAGTGAATACCATGTTCCATCTTCTAGGAAGATAAGGAGATCATGGCCTGATTTTGTTTCGGGTGGGTTTATCTCTTTGCCCAATTTATCTCATGCCATAGTTATTCAGTGCACTATACAATCATAGATACAATTACTAATTATAGGTTGAGTATAGGAAAGCTTAGATCTGTAAACAAATCTGGACGGGTCACAGTAAATCCATCATCAACCAAGTACAAGAATCAAGGATTGGGTTGGGAAACTCACGAGGACGTCAAGATCATCGTACATGGGAATGTCAAATTCATCTGAGAAACGGCTTAGATTCCCAGCGGACCACCGGAGAGTGACTGTGCCGGTGAACATGGACCAGAAGGCGAGCAGTAGAATAGCGGCCAACGCCCAGAACTTGTATCTTCCTCGGCCGAAGAGAGTCGGACTGGAATTCTCCTTCCTCGAATGCGAGGAAATAGTCGTCGACGGTGTCGAGTACGCCGTCGGAGTAGATACCGGAAGCGCGCCATCATCCTTCATTTTCGATTGCTCCGAATCCGACAAACTTTCTGTTAAATAAAAAAATGAAAACTGTGAAATATTCTCGTCTTCACCTTTTATTTGATTCTTCCCATTGTGGATTGAGCAGGATATGAACAGTATCTTCTTCTGAATGTATGATCTTCACTCTCGGGTAGCGATCTAGAGAGAGAGAGAGAGAGAGAGAGAGAGAGAGAGAGAGATTTTGCGGGTCACCGGCTTGGGATGAACAAAGAAAGAAGCCGTGTCGGTGGGCTTGGATCCAAGTCAAAGCATATGTTGAAAGCAACACCGACCCAATAAGCCAAGGCCTCACGTAAATAAAAAAAAAATTAAAAGCATTGTCTCACGCCGGATTTTTGGCTTGGCCTATTTGAATGGAAGTAGGATCTTATTGTTCTAGTCTAGATCTAGCCAATTTTTAAACACCTTTTATCATGTGCATGTCTGAAAATAACATTTTCAATTAGCGATAATATTTTAAATAAAATATTAATGGTATATATTAACTTTAAAAATGCTAACGCTAAATACTGTTTGTTCTTAACTTTTTAAAACATTGTGTTACTATTTTCTTTCATTTGCACACATCAAATTGTATTAGGTCTTTTGGGTCACTTTTTGAAGCACTTTGTTGGATCAATAATACTTTTAGTACCATTTAATATTTAAAACATCTTAAATATTGAGTAGATGTGGATCAGGGCATCTAAGACTATTGGGTCAGATTATTGCTAAAGAAATCAATTTTTAGTCATGACCAACTTTATGTTATCATCTCACGTGTAACCATTTATCATGGGTTGAACGTATTCAAGAAGTTTTTAGAATCTTTAATATCTTGAGCATTGCAATTTCTTCATCATTGTCTTCTAAATCAAAGATTCTCAAACAATACATTTTCCAAAGAGCAATGTTAGGGGTTGGTGTACCCCAAATGTACACCACCCTCTTTTCTACCACCCATTTTTATTTGATTTTTATTTATTTATTTATTTTTGAATTTTTTACCTTTTTATGTGGACAAGGAGGGGATGAGGGGACATATGGGGTACACCTATAGTGTACCCCTAACATTTTTCTTTTCCAAATTACAAGCTTTAGATCTAATCCTACTATATACAATGTTAGGTGCAATTTGTGAACAGTATTCCCGCCTATTTTTATTGGGCCGATTTAGTGGGCTTTAAGCTGCAAGGTAGGGCTGAGAATTTTGGCCTGTTAAAGGTTAAATTTTCTGTAAAATGTCAATTCTGAAAGACTGAAACCCTTGGACATTGTGAAGACGACAGCAGGCCTTGAACAGTGTGGAGACGGCAGTAGCCTTTGAACAGTTTCGGTTTTGGTGATGAAAAAAAGGCCATGCGTAGGGCGGCGACATGACTCAATGGGTTTTATGGGCAAGTGTGTGCCATGCGTATGGGAAAATGAGTATGGTGGATTAGTTTAAAATAAGATTCAATTTTGAATATTTAGTTTTTAAATTGAGATTCAATTTAAGATTTAATCGGGTGGTTGCAGTCAATTACGGGTTTGAATACACTAAAAAGTATCCATTAAGAATTTATGATTGAAATGCAATAAAATTTTATAATTTTAAAGATGACATAAAATTTAAGATGTTAAAAAATAATTCTAATTCTAATCGAATAAACGTCGGAAAAAATAAATTTCAACTTCTTCCTCTTTCATTTAACATCTAGCATATTTGATGGAGCAAATTCTACTAATATATTTTTTTGAAAAATGTAAAAAATCTCACGTATACTTCACAAAAATATTAGTTATCATGAATTTATTCAATGTATGTTTTATTTAAATGCATCATTATTTGTAACAATTCATCCTTTTAGATTTAAAAAGAAACAATTCCACTTCATACGCTATGACAATTAACAAAAGTCAAGGCTAATCTTTGTCCCATGTTGGATTGTTACTGAAGAAATCGGTATTCAGTCATGGTCAACTATATATTGCAATTTCACGTGTTACAAGTCGCGAGAGATTAAAGATCTTGATTTGTAATAAAGACCTTCCGTCAACAAACCAAACTACGAATGTAATTTATAAAGAAGTGTTCCAAAACTTATAATACTGCATATCAACTACGGTCCTTCCTGTATACTACCTTATTTTGGATATTTTAAATATTATTTGTTATCTTTTAATTTTTGTATCATGTTTTTATTTCATATCATGACTAAATATAATTAGATTTACAGTCCGTGCATCGCACGGGTACGAGTCTAGTATTGACCAAGAGAATTGATGTGGATCAGGGCATCTAAAACTATTGGGTCCAGCCCAAATCCAAAAGAGGAGCAAAGTCGCAAATACTGAAGAAGAAAAAAAAGAATGCGGTGTCCGTACTGCGCGGCGACCCAGGGACGGTGCGCCACCACATCGAGCGGCCGATCAATCACAGAGTGCAGCTCCTGCGGCCGTGTTGTGGAGGAGCGCCAGACGCAGCCCCACCACCTCTTCCACATTCGCGCACAGGACTCCCCACTATGCCTCGTCACCTCCGACCTCCCCACCCTTCCCATCTCCGCCACCGCTTCCGGCGCCTCCAACAACGACGACGAAGACCCGTTTGAGCCCACCGGTTTCATCACCGCCTTCTCCACATGGTCACTCGAGCCATACCCGGTGTTCGCCCAATCCTCCATTTCTTTCGCCGGACATCTAGCCGAGCTAGAACGCGTGCTCGAAACTACATCGTCTCCTTCAAATCCTTCGAGCCCCTCTGCGGTGGTGGATAACATTAGGGCATATTTGCAGATTATCGATGTGGCTTCAATCCTGGGACTGGAGTATGATATTTCTGACCACGCATTTCAGCTCTTCAGAGACTGTTCTTCATCCACTTGCTTGAGGAATCGAAGCGTTGAGGCGCTTGCCACTGCTGCTCTTGTTCAAGCTATTAGGGAAGCTCAAGAACCCAGAACGCTTCAGGTATATGGGTATATCTAATATACTGCTCCCAGAAATGGAACCCCTTCATAGGCTTATATAATGTAATATGGTCTATAAATTTATCGCCTTAAGAGTTTTCATTTTCAAGTACTTTGATAAACTAGTTTGAGGAACTGTGAAAAAACACGTTGAGTTATCGAGGGAAGAAGATCTACATTTGTACAATGCATTACGTGAGCAGGTTGTTTGATGATATTTTCCTAATTCATATGAGTAGATTTGATTGTGCTTGTAGGAGTTGACAAGAAGAGCATATGTAAATGGAGTAAGTATATGCTATGACTGTGAGTTAAGAAATGAAAATGGCGTTGTACCAAATTTCTCAGTAGCATACATATATCGTCATTGGGATGAGGGAGGAGCACATTTCACATATGTAGTATAAGAAAAGATCATCTTCAATACTATGGAGTAGTAAACTTCCGTATTACTAGAAAGAAAATTGTGATTCGGTAGTAATTAAGGATTGTGAGGTAATCACGGGATAGAGCTTAACCACATTATATCATTCAATAGTCTTGGAAATAAGCATTAAAAATGTAAAAAGGAAAACAATGACCACTGTCTAGTACTGCATATATTTGAGGATTTGATTGTGGAATATAAAAAGAGGTCAACAAGTATTGTTTAAATCAGAAGTGTTAGAAGTAGTTACTCAGGAGGCCATCGATCAGAAGTGCTGATAATGCTTGGTAACGAAAGCCATGGGGTATATTTAGTAAATGCAAGACTACTAAAGGAGAATCTGAATTAAGGCACTCTACCAACCCATTATATTTAGTATATGCAAGACTATTTCTAACCAAAAGTGTTAGAAATAGCTTGTTGTCTTAATTTTTTCGATGCAATATTTATATATAGTAGATGGTAACAATATTTGGAAACTGGCAAATTATTGATTATTCTAAGTATATGTCATGTGTAATCTTTGATATCAGGAAATATCACTTGCTGCCAATTTACCTCAAAAAGAAATCGGAAAGTATATCAAGATCCTTGGAGAAGCTCTACAGTTAAGTCAACCTATTAATAGCAATTCAATATCAGTCCATATGCCGCGGTTTTGTACACTGCTTCAACTGAACAAATCTGCTCAGGTATTTTGTCATCCCTCTGTGGTGCCATTTGGGTTGCAATTCTATATTTTGTGTGCTTAATGTTAGATGCCGCATATAGACTATATTACTATAAAAAGCTTGTTTTTTATTTAACACTTTTTGGTTACCGTAGGTTATATTCTTATATTAGTATCATTAATTTGAAAAAAGAAAAAAAATTCATTGCCGTACAAACGTAGGTTATATTATCGTGTTCTATTTTTTTAATTAGGCGGCTCTCTTTTCACACCAAGTTTCTTTCCATTTAGATGCCGTGTGACCCCTATTATTCCCTGAATAGGATCCAGGCTTATTATGTCTTTGAGCAGGAGTCCTTGGGCATTAAAGGAATTTATGAGAAAATCAAGACAAACTAACAAACTGTTTCCAGTATCATGTTTGTTTGGCCACACTGCACAAAAGAGGAAAACAAACCCAAAATAATACTTCTGGAGGTTAATCATTATTGAGAAATAAATTTGCAAACCATCCTATGTAAGATTACTAGGGAGCTTATTTAGTCAATTTGCTCTACTCTGCCAGTCATTCTTGATGTATTAAGCTCTAGCTAGTGTTGCACCTTTGCAATATGCCAGGAATGTACAAATTACCAAGTAAACTATAAGAATTGTGGCTGGAATTCATTCTTCAGTATCTATTGTGTACCCTTCTAGTCCTTTGTAAATTATTGTCCTTACTAGGTAGCCCACTGCAGTACGAACCAAGTAGCGAGTACTTGTTGATTAATAACATAAGTTTGATCAAATGTGAATCTCTTTTTGGGGCAGACGTATTATCTTCTATTTGATGTGCTGGGTTTACTAGGGAAAAACATCTAATGTCAAGTTCATGCACTCTAAGATATTCTTGGGAAAAACATATAACTGAAGGGCTGAGTTTTCTTCATAGCAAACATCATTTACAGAATACTTTATTAGTACGAGTGACTTTTACCAACAAATTACAAAAACGTTATGTTACAGGAGCTAGCGACTCACATCGGCGAGGTGGTAATGAATAAATGCTTCTGCACTCGCAGAAACCCCATCAGCATCTCCGCCGCTGCAATATACTTAGCCTGCCAGCTCGAAGATAAGCGAAAGACCCAAGCTGAAATCTGCAAGGTAACCGGACTCACTGAGGTCACGCTTCGAAAAGTGTACAAGGAGCTTCTGGAAAACTGGGATGATCTGCTCCCCTCGAACTACAGTCCAGCTGTCCCTCCAGAGAAGGCTTTCCCCACAGCTACTGTTGCATCAGGGCGTTCTTCAAGCACTAGGGCTGACATCATCATTGAAGCGATTTCTTCTGAGCGCGACAAACAAGCTGAAGCTAAGGTGAGTAATATATCACACATGGCTTTTGGTCATCAGGCTGATGGTGATAGAAAAGATCCAATTGGTAGTTGTAGTTGCAGTAGTCATGCAATGGAAATTGATCCTCACCCCAAAATTCTTGAGATGCAAGTAGAGATCAATACTGCAAGGGGCGTTTCTGGGATTTCAAGAGTTCCCATGCCATTCTTCTCTCATTTTGATTCTCAGTTACTGCAACCACCAGTGAACAATATTAAGCAAGATGAGAACAAGAACTGATGTGGCAATATGCTTGTTGTAAGTTGGAATGTACAGTTTATTGCTTGTTTCTTGTGGCAGTGTAAGGAAAGTTGTACTTTTGTTCTTCTTTTGTGTTTCAACATCCTCACTTTTGCACTATTCAGATACCTTTGACCATTTTCTAGTAGTATTGCATTAAATCTTTCATGGGTAAGTGAAAGAGGCCATAAAAATCCTTTTACTTCCTACAAAAAAATTGCATATGAATCAATTGAGTAAAATATATTTAGAGAAATTATTCCATATATCCTTCATTTTGATTAGGTCCTCTACAAGCTATAAACTTCCCAAGTTTTACAGTTGTTTTGTGAAGGCTTTGGGTCTATGCTATTGCTAAAGAAAACACATAAAAGGTGGATAGTGTAACAAAAGATGAATGAATGACTTAAAAAAATACAGTATTAGAAAAGTAGGAAATCTCGTTGCAGTTATGGTACTTATTATACATGGTACGGTGCAATGACGTTGTTCGATCGATATCTTCAAAATCTTATCTTGTAGGATTTTGCCGTCGCTGCTTCTCGCTTGATCTTGCCTTTGCTGCTTCTCGTCGGTGTAATTTCTCGCCTGCTATATCTCGAGTCTTGACGATACTATTTCATGTTGTCTCTTCTTTTTTGCCAGAGTAAGCGTTGGCGGGCCCATGTCTGGGTAAGTTGTATAGTGGGGAGCTGTAGATATAAATGTGATTAACATTATTCATAGACCAAATGTGCATATACATATTTTATACGGAGTAATAAATACTCCCTCCGTCCATAAATAAACTTCCCACCTTCCTTTTTCGTCCGTCCACAAATAAACTTCCCATTTCCTTATTTGGTAATATTTTTGCATTAAAAAGACTTATTTATCCTTATAGATCTCCTCCATATCTTCCGTATCTTCTTTACTTCTTTCTTCCTACTCTCTCTTTCTTCTTTACTTCTTTCTTCCTTCTCTCTTTCCGGTAATCCCCTGCCACCCCCCAATTCTTTTTCTTTTCTTCTCTTTTTATCTTTTTTCTTTTCTTCTTCCTCTCCCCTCCGATCGTGTCCAGCCAGCCGCTCCATCTTCTTCTTTATTACTACAGTACTAACACTTTTTCTTCTTCCTACTCATACCAATTTTGTCCAGCCACTAAACCTATCACCATCTTCCTTTCTTTCTTCTTTTCTTATTTGCGGTGATATCCACATGGATGGATATGATGATTTCAAAATTCTTTTTCATTCAATCTTTTGGTCATCGGGTCTTCTTCTTCATCAGATCTGAAGGAGTAAGTCTTGTTTTCGTTAGATCTGAAAATTGCATAGATTCTGTCCACCGAGATAGATGGTTGCCGGCCACTGCTGTTCAATTCGTATAGGAAGAAGACTAACTCGAGGTACTGACCATTGATTTCTGGTGCTGCCGGTGATGAGCTGAAGAAGGACAAACTGGAATTTAGGTAGGGTGGCCGGTCGAGAGAGGTGTTTGGTGGCAGGGAGGCTGGTTGAGTGGGGGATGAGAGAGGGGTAATTTGGGAAAGTCAAATACATTTTCACTTTACCTAAATCTGCGTGCCCGGTCAAAGCGGGAAGATTAATTGTGGACGGAGGGAGTATGTTTGTTAAAAATTGTAAATGTACAAAATGAGTATTGTGTTATTTACATTATAAATTTACATTGTGTATAAACATTTTGAAAATTATGTAGTTCTCAAATGGTGCATCAATATATATTACAATGCGCATGTTTTGAACAAATACTACCAAATAAATATGTGACATGGGTATTCAAGAGATATACGACTGATGTAAATAAATACACGAAATGAATATTTAGTTATCCATAAATAAATATCCACCGAAAAACAAGAGACACTATACACTGTACATCCAGATGTGCAATATAAAGACTCAACCTTGTGGCTCTTGTCCAAGCACCTAATACACCAAACTTCTTGCTTCCTCCAAAAATTGATGTTTCCTCCGTCTCAATTTATAGTGTCTGTTTCGGTTTACGATGTTTGATTGAAATTATTTTCAAATAATTTTATATGACAAATTGTATAAAGCTAAAAAATAAAAATTACATATTAAGAGCATGAGCAATGACAAGTAAAGAAATAGAATGTCACACGATGACGGAACATATTTCAACCAATTAAAACAGGTCCAGTCATAGAGTGGCAAATGAGTAGAGTGGCAAATTCTACAATGGCAAGGCATTACTTTTTTCTTTTTTTATTTTTTGTTGAAAGAAAATTTTTTTTTATATAAAAATAGAAATTGAAAGTAAAAATAAAAATATTTCATATTAAATACGGAGTAATCAAATTAACAAATTTAAAAATCATAATACAAAGTAAACAAAATAAATTAGAAAACATGAAAAGGAGATTGAGTAATTAACCCATGTGGTCTTCCTCCCAGTAGCTGCTCCACTAGCCATTCCATGCCTCGACCAATACTCGCAGAAAGAGGCAAAAAGCAAGTTACACGCGAGGAGAAGCAGATCTGGTGCTGATGTGGCACTGCGTGGAGGTCATTCTCCTCGCCAGTGCAAATGTTCTAAAATACCAAAAGATCTACAAAACTAGTAGTGACAATAGTACTTTATTTTATCAAATTGCTAACAAAAATAGAAAAAGAAAATGAATGAAATTTGACCATGTGAATAGTGAACAAACATTATAATTTGGGACGGAGGAGTAAATATTTATTTTAATATAGTTGTTACTTGTGAAATAGTTAATGTAAATGTAGTAAATGACTAGCAAAATTGAACCACGAAAGTGGTATTGCCGTATTAGTCATAGTACCGCTCAAAAAAGTTCCAATTTCGGTTCTCCCTACTTGCCGATAGGTTCCGGTCCAGTTTCAAAATCAGAGCTGTGTCCAAATTCTCATTAGAACATCATCAACTCTCACAATACATTCTTCATCAATTGATTAATACGGAATATTTGTTATTAGATTTGGATTGTATGGTGGAAAGACTTTAGAATACACTTAGAATTAAGATACACTTTTTGGTAGACCCTAAACATTTTTTACTAGACAATCCTTCATAAATTTAAGTGAAATTTGCACGGAATAAGACTAAAAATTAAGTCATTTTCCAATGCAGGACTTACATTTTTTTATTCTTTAAATGGGAGTTAATAATGATTAGTGAGAAGAATAATGTCCAAGTGATGCTTAACATTTAGTTGAATAATGACTAATAGGTAGTGACTAATGATCTTACATTAAGAAATCTAAATTTAACTGTGGTGGGCTGGGTTCGACATTTCTGCCCCCCGGAGGGCTATTATTGGGTAACAGATTAACTGTCGTGGGCTGGGCTGGGTATTTTTTTTCACACGCGGAAATTGGACCGTCGTCGGGTAGTGGGGGAAATATGGACATTAAAGACGTCTTTCTCACCAAGAAACACAATAAGCTAAGATCTGGACCGTCCATCTCTAATCCACGTCATCGATCCGCAAACCTCGAATCGTACGGTGAGATACACCCATCAAAACAAACACAAATGCAGCCTCCCAACCATGGTTAGGTTAGGTTAACTCGACCACACCCGAACGGATGCCTGAGTTATCCTATCGGCTCTCGTCTTCTACAATCTCGAGTGAGAAAGAGAAATACGCGTTTCTTCGACGATTCCTGAAAACCGAGGGTTTTATCGTTCCCGAACTCCAAATCAATCTCATAGTCGAATAACTTATATGCGTTTTCGATTTGATCGAATAATTGTTCCCCGGTGTTTGTGTGCGCATTGATCGTCTATGATGGATGAGGTTTGGGAAAAAGCCGTGGAGACTGCTTTGGAAGGCCAGACTGATCCGTCTTCCGTCCGGAGTTTGACCATGGACGGTGTCGTGAAGTGCGTTCACGGCCGCTTGCCTCCGCCGTCGGTTTTCGAGAGATTCCGGAACCTCCGGCATTTGTCTATTGCAAGCATAGGCGTCTCCTCTTTGGAATGCTTTCCTCGGCTTCAGAACTTGCAGAAGTTGATTTTATCCGACAATAGAATCTCCGGAGGGCTGGAGTTCCTCGTTAAGGCCGGTTTGCATTCGCTTAGGGACCTAGATTTGTCAAACAACCGGATTCAGGATGTAAGGGATCTTAGTCCACTGGCAAAGCTCAAGCTTGTTTCTCTCGATCTGTACGAGTGTCCGGTGACAAGGGTTAAGGATTATAGATCCAGTGTTTTGGGACTGGTAGAGTCCTTGAAGTTCCTCGATAAAACTGATGCGGAAGGGAATGAGAGGCCTGAGTCTGATGATGAGGAGGATGATGAGGAGTCAGACGAGGAGGAGGATGACTACGATACCGGGAGCGTGGAAGTTGATTGTGAGGATGGATCTCATAGGGCCACATGCAATGGACGCCAATCCTGGAATGACAGAGTGATTGAGGTGGATGATGACGAGAGCGATGCTGAAGATGCAGAACTGGATACTTCTAGAGGGGCTAGCGAGACTAGTCCAAATCGCGCACATAATCTTCCAAATGGTGTTAGAGTAGCAGGTGATGAGGATGATGAGGATGGAGGGGAGGATGATGAAGACAGTGATTGGGATGAAGATGATGATGTTGATAATGAAGAGGATGATGATGACGATGTGTTGGAGGTTCATAATGTTGTGGATGATGATGACGATGATGATGAAGATGATGTTGAAGACGAAGAGGAAGTGGACAATGATGACTTCGGGGAAAAACAAAGTACCGATGTGCTTGCTAGCACAGAGGGAGAGATTGATGGGGATGGAGAAGATAGTGATAGTGATGAGGACGATAGTGTAGAGACTGGTGAGGAGAATTCTGATGATGAGGTAAGAATCATATTTCCCTCCTTAAATTCCAATTCCACTCTACAATATAGCACTTTTCATGTGTGGTACAACTCATATATTTACTATCTTTAGTGTGCTTATAAGCAATGGTTAGATCTGGGATTTTTATAGACTTCCGTTTGTCAACGTAATTTTTTCACCTGCCAGTGATTTATTTACTGCTGTGATTTGATTTGATTGCGTGCTCTAATTAGTAGAGGTTGTTGGCTTGTTGTTAGCGTGATCTATATAGCCCATAAATTTGCTGCATATTGTAATTTAGATCTTAGTTTTACCTTTTACTTGGAGCATTGCATTCTTAGAATCAACCTCTCTGTTTGGAAGAGGATTCTCGATGTGCCACCATTTGATTTGATTTGCTGTACATTTGAAAGAAATGAATGTGAGTTGCATCCAACAATATGATCTAGGAGAGAACATCGTGTTTACACCGCATGTTTTAAGTGAAGCATTTATTTATAATACTTTGTAGCATTTAAGCATCTGTATTTTATGCTGTTGGATCTGAAAATAAGATGCCATTCCCCATGTTAGTATTCTCAGTGTGGCACTTAGGGATGGTTATTTGAGTTTTTTCTTCTTTTCTTATATAATGAATCTATTTTTTCCACATGATGATGATAATTTGTACAAGGGCAGTTGATATGGTTTTACTAGCCAGTAATACGTAGAAGCAGTAAATCTTTTTTTTACCAAATTATATGGAGTATTTTTTAAAGGTGGGATTCGAACTCAAAAAATATTTAAGGTGGGGTTCGAACTCAAAACCTCTTGGAGACTGGGTTGACTTTGACAACCATGGTTTGACCTATATTTGGAAAACTGTTTTATAATGTCTTGTTATTTTCTTTTCCTTTTGTGTGTGTGTGTGTGTGGGATTGAGGGGGGGGGGCTATGTAATGGCATGGTTGAGCTTATTTGATGCATTGACTATCTTTGTTTGATTTGTTTCTAATTTGAAATTTTCTTATACAGAATGCTATTTTTATTAAAAAAAAATAATTGATTGCACGTTTTTCAAGAGAAATGTTATCTTTTATAGCTATGCTGGATTTTGATATGAAAGTGATATAAAGCTGATAGTGGGGAATTTTGATATGTCAGGAAGAAGATAATGGAGCTGGATATTTAGTTCAACCAGTTGGTTCTGTAGTTGCCAATGGGATGATGCATGAGGAAGAAGATGTAGAGGAAGATGAAGAAGATGATGATGATGGTGAAGTCCATGAGATGCCATCTTTGAAGAGGAAGAGAGATCCAGATGTAGAAGAAGAAGATGATGATGATGATGATGAAGTCCATGAGATGCCATCTTTGAAGAGGAAGAGAGATCCAGAGGTAGAAGAAGAAGAAGGAGATGATGATGATGATGACGACAGTGATGATGGTGACGATGATGATGATGGGGTGTTGGAGAATGGCAAGTGCAGGTAGGGGGGAGTTTGATGACATCAGCCAGCAATGGAGGGGAAGATGTATAATACTCTCTCACGCATGGAGGGAAAGAAGGAAAGTCAACTCCTTCACCTTCACAGCAATGGCGGGGGAGAGAGAGTGCAGGGCAGAGCAGAGAGAGAGAGAGAGAGACTGGAGGAGATGAGAGTTGGGAGCTTTTAATTAGTGTGTTAATGGATTTTTTAGGCGGGACCAAAATTATAACTTTCTCTATCTATCTATTATTTTTTTGGAGGGAAACATGGTGATGATGGTGGTGGTGGATGGATGAATGGATGATGATATAGGGTGGGATACTCTCTCTCTCTCTCTCTCTACATAGGTTGGTTCAAAACTTGGTTCGTTTGGTCTTCTTCTTCTTCTTCTACTAAATGATGTTTTGACTTTCCTCTCCCTCCAAAATCGATTCAAATGGCAGTTAGGAAGTTGCTGCTGCTGCTTGCTTGCTTGCTGCTCTTTTGATGATTTCAAATGGGATTTGATTTTAAGAGGGAAACCCCCCACCCACCCAACCCCTAAACACACCCCGGTCTTCCCACCCACCCACCCACCCGCACATTTCAACAATTAGGCGTAGCTCCCTTCTTTTTTTTAAAAAAAAAAGAGGGAAAAAAGAAAGAAAGAAAGAGAAAGAATTCAAAAATTGACCCGGCGGCCTATATATGGGTGGATAATGGATAATCCGTGTTCTCTCTCTTCTTCTTCCTGTGATATGGAAAGGAAGGAAGCAATGTGCGTGTGTGGGCAAACGGAGCGAGAGAGAGAGAGAGAGTGATGCGTCGTCGTCTGGTCAAAGTGACCTCCTCCTCATCTAGAACTTGTACAATGAAAGAATTGTCACGTGTTCCTTTATTTCATTTAAATCACTATTTGCTGTATATTTAAAAAAATAACATTTTGATTTCATTTCCTGGTTGATGTATGCCAGATGGCAAGTACTCATTTGAATGCTGTTTATCATTTTTTAAATAATAATATTAATAATAATAATTTCAATTCAGCTAATATTATGTATGCCATTTATATGAGATACCCAATTCGTGCTTCTGTTGACTTCCCGTGTGGAAAGAGTAGTAGTAGTAGTAATGAATGCTGCTCCATTTGTGGGCTACTTTGGCCAATTTCTTTTCTTTTTTTTCCTCTTTCAATAGCCTCGCCAAGCCCACTCTCATAGAGACATTAGCAGCCTAAATCTGGGCCGCGCTTTTGGCATGCATCATCATCCACTCCAAATAATAAATGAACTGAATTACACACACACACACATCTCTCTCTCCCAAATGAAATACCAATATACTCCCTCCGTCCTCCATAGATCTTCCTAATAGTCTTTTTTCTTTATCCACAATAGCTCTTCTCATTTCATCTTTTAACAATCAAAATACCACAACTACCCACACTTACTTTATTTATTACACCTTACCCACATCATTTAATACACTCCACCCATTTTCATTAAGGATATTATGGTAAACTTTCACTTTTTTCAACTCTCCTTAAAAACCACATAAAGTCAAAATGAGAAGATCTTAGAGAGACGGAGGGAGTATCAAAATGAATTTATATTCACTCACGGGTATAAATCTAGTTTATATTGAAACATAATGTATTTTTTTCGCATATCGAGAACAAAGTTTACAAATAAAATACTCCCTCCGTCCGCAATTTGATTACAAATTGCGGGTTACAGAGTAAAATTTCTTACTTTTTGAAATCATTTTATTTATAAATTGGTATATCAATAAGATATAAAAATTACATATTAAAAAACTACGTCAAAAGTTCTACAAAACAAGAGGTGACAAAAATATTTTATTTTATCAAATACTTAATGAAATCGCGTAAACAAAAGTTATCGAGATGAGAGAAAAAAAATTGTAATCCATTTAGGGATGGAGGGAGTAATTAAATTCAAACGGAGAAAGTACAATTTTTTTATCACTTCTCTTATTGAATGTCTTAAAAAAATTCATCACTTGTGTACCTTTTTGTCTCGTATTATATGTATCATTTCTAAATAATAACCACATTTTATTTTAGACCTTTACAATTTAAAATAGATATTTTATGTGTTTTTTAATATATGAAAATTTCCATATTTCATCTAAGATGCACCATAAATCTTTCAAATAAGCTAGTTAATTAAATATTAACTATATGTGCATTGTATGTTGGGTTTATTACTTATCCAAGAAGATTAATGTAATGCCTTTTATTATACACTATAAAAAAGACTAGGTATATGTACATACATACATATACATACATACATACATACATACATATACATACATACATATATATATATATATATATATATAGACACACATACACACTGTGTAAAAGATATCCCCGATTTTATGATAAGAACTTTTAAGTCACAATATCTAAAATATACTCCGAAGTCCTCGCAACTTGTAATATAATACTCCATCCGTTCTCAAAAACACTTCCTCTTTCATTTTTTCCACTTCCAACAAAACACTTTCCTTTTCTATTAAAAAACCGCTTTTACCTTTAATTTTTCATATTCTACCTATCACATCATACTTTTTCTTTAATAATCTATCCATCACATCTTACTTTTACCCATCACATCAGGGGCAAAATTAGAAATCAACTACTCCGTATAATTTAACACTTCCTTATTTTTGCCCCAAATCCAAATGGGAAGTGTTTTTTCAAACGGAGGGAGTATTGTTTAGTTTAGGCTTTAGGATTGAAGATTTCTATACTTTGACAAATTAAAATTTTTTATTTAAATTTAATAAAATAATGATTATCAATGTAAAAATAATTATTTGTGACATCAACAAAACTTTCAATTCTAATCGTCAAATAGGTAAAATGTACCAAAAGAATACATTATCAGAAATTTAAAAGACTCTCTGAATATATTTTAGATAATGTAAAACTTAAGAAGATTTATCATAAACTATAGACAACTCAGATTATATTTCACAAAATGTTAGACATGTAAATTTTTAGTACAAAATCAATACTATGGAATTATTAGTACAAAATCAAGACTATAGAGTAGAAAAATACTCCGTATTATGAAGATGTAAATTATTACTCCGTATTTATACAGAGTGGTCGTCCTAATTTTGCATCAAAACCCTTCCGCCGCTCTCACGGTTGCGATCGATCGATCGGATCCATACGATAGATAGCAAAGAGGACAGCGTTATTTGCGAATCAATCCCCTCCAAATCTGTGCACCAGAAACGCTTAAGCCTCGCCGTTGCTGAATATCGACACAGATTCAGAAAACCCTAGCCGTTCTGTTTTTCATCGCCGGCGATGGGAGATCCCAACGATCCATTCATGCGCAACAACAACAACAACGCCGTTCAGGCTCGCGCCAAGGCCCAAAACCGTGCGAACGTTATGCAGCTCAAGCTGGTAAGGTTTTATTTTGCACTCGTTTCAATAGTTTGCTTTTCCTCGCGCTTTTTTTATGTGTTAAATCTAAGTCAGTTCATATCGATTGGATTCGAGCTTTTTTTATATGTTTTTTTAAGTTCATTTTCGTTGTAGACAATTTTTTCGCTATGTTTCTATTGGTTCCGCATTTGTATTTTCCTGACTGAAAATTAAATGCGTAATGGATATGGTAGACAACATGACAATTGAGCTTTTTTTGCTTTGCTTTGCATAGTAGCAGCTGCTGATTACAAATTATTCCTTTTTTGCTTATGCTTTGCTTTGACATTGTTTTTTCATGAATGCCAACTTAACCATGCAGAGTATTATGTTCTTTGTGTCATAGTGTTATAGATTATCCTAGTATTCTGCTTTATTGCAATGCAGATTGGTCAAAGCCACCCAACTGGATTGACAAATAATTTGCTAAAACTGTTTGAACCTCGCCCCCCTTTGGAATTCAAACCACCTCCCGAGAAGAGAAAATGCCCTCCATATTCAGGTCTCTATTGCCTGTTCCTAGTCACTCTACTGCTTTTTTTTTGTATTAATTTTTGAGTTATTATTGAGATCATTTTGTGCTCTAGGTATGTCTCAATTTGTCAGACACTTTGCTGAGCCTGGTGATGATGAGTATGCTCCACCTGTTAAGGAGGTGGAAATTCCGGTATGATAAACTCTTTCAAAAACTGCTGCTGCATGTAAAATTTTAATTTAGTTATTGTGGTTCTCTGTGGACTAGATGGTTAAGACTCTTGTAGTTTCAGGTTATCTACTAAGTACATCCAATTTGCAGTAAAATCATTTTTGTGTACTCTTTCTATCTCTATTAAAACATTTTGAATTCATCTTATTAAAATAATGATGTAAAAATTTAAAATAAAATTTACTCTATATATGATTAGATCTTAATAAAAAGTTTTTTTCCAAAAAGAGGTAACATGACTATTTTAGTTTCACAGATGATTAGAAAAAGTGAGTAGGGGAAAAAAAATATAGTTTGATCTTGTGAATAATGAAGGGGAAGATTAAAAGGTTATGTAGGGAGTAAATGATAAGGTTTGTCGTAATATTTGCAGTTTTATCATTATATTTTCACCCCACTGCTTAAAACTTGGGTTTGGTGTTTCTCAGTTTCTTAATTCAACACTTTGATCATTAATATGTACTCCACCACTTCCGAAAGTTTGTATATAATAGCAACACTTGCTCTTCATTCTTGTCAATTCGCAAATTAAATCATTATTATCTTCAATCGTGTTTTAATAAGAGCTATAAATTTGATATTATGAAAATTTTTATTGTGATGAATCTATCGAGAATCCATTTGAATATATTTTTTGCTTACATGTGAATCACAAAATTTGGTCATCGGTCAAAGAGTGAGGGTGAATAGTGTATAGTTTTGACCATTGTGATTAATTTGGAAGGGAGGAACTATATATCTGTGCATAAAATGTTAAAATCATTGTAATATCGGCCCCTTCATTTGACAACAAGTGTTGTTATATTATGACAAGAACACATTTGGGGCACCGACGATGCTCTTTTCGTAAAGTTGATAGTTCTTACTTCCTTAACCCTTTAAAAATCCCCAACCCCCACCATGGCCACCCTGGATCGCTCCTCCCTGGATCGACAGATGGCAGCTTTATATTTGAAGGGTTAGGGGATAGAAACCATTAATTTTACGAACTAAGCACCGTAGGTGCTTCTTGTCATAATATTACAAGAAAATTTGTTGTCAAAAGCATAGTTGTGAATGGCGCTCGCCATTAAAGCTTATGGCGCCAAAGGCGCTGTGGCGAGGTGTTTCCGCCACTGCTCACTGTGGCAAAGTGTTTTACCTGAGGTGCGCCAGAGGCGGTCGCTATTGTCGCCTGTGTTTCTGGCGAGAAGCGTGCGCCATCTGCGCTCTGCGTTTGGAGCGAGGCAAAAGTGTTTTTGCGGCGATCTGGATTAATAGGCGAGCGGATCGACTCGGATAAAGCCAGCGGCGCTTAGGATCGCTAGACCTAAGCGATCCGACCTCAAGATCTGGTCCTCTGCAGGTGTCGTTTGCTCTCCTCCTTTCTTTTTCTCTTTTTTATGTAGTATTTTTTATATTGGGTATTTCCTTTTTTTCTTGTTTTTTAAAATTGCTTTGTAACGTGTGGGAGTGGTTTTCATTTTTCGATTTTCTGATCTAGGTTTATATCTAGATCTGTTTGAATGTACAGCCTCCCCAACTTTCTTCTCCTTTTTTCCTTCCTTTTTTTCTTTTGTTTCCTTTTTTTAAATTTTTTTTTACTTAATAACCTGTAACCTCCTTTTTAATTACTGTTTATTATTATTATTATTACTATTATTATTATTATTACTATTATTATTATTAGTATTATTATTATTATTATTATTATTATTATTATATGTTCTCCATTTGACCGCCCGCCTCTCGCCCGCCCCTCGCAACTCGCCATTAACAACTATGGTCAAAAGAACCGGAGCAATATTATAATAATATGATATTTCAAAATTACATAGCCATTAATAAAAATAGTCAACTAGGATTTAAGTTAGGTGCTGTGGGTCAGTGGATGGATTTCATTTTCAGAATATCTATATGGCTCCCATAAGTTGTTTACAAATTGCAAGGGAAGTTCGTAAAGTACTGCAAATTGTGTATGCTTGAACTTCTTTCGCGTTCTGATTAGTTTTTTGCGTGAAGCTCCTGAGTATCTTATGTTTATGTGCACTCAATTCCTTGATTTTAACAGGCAGAGAGAAGGGCTAGGATTCATAGGATGCGACTCGAAAAGGGTGCCCAGAAGGCTGCTGAAGAGCTTGAAAAATGTATACCGTGTTTTCTTGCTACTTACTCTCCAAATTACTTGAGTATGATATTTGAAAGTATTCAATATTCTTGCAGATGATCCAAATAATGATCCAAATGCTACCGGAGATCCGTACAAGACATTGTTTGTGGCTAGACTTGTGAGTATTTACTATTATAAGTTATTTTTAAAATACTTAAAGCTACATTTATATTTTAGGACTTATTTGATCATTGTTTTTTGTTAACAGAACTATGAGACAACCGAAAGCAGAGTCAAAAGGGAATTTGAGGCATATGGTCCTATAAAGAGGGTAGGTATTATTGAGAACCCGATGGGTGGTTCCAATTTTTGGGTTTTGAGTTGGTAAGAGGTAACATCTGTATGGTTTGATTCCTCTTCCCCTATCCTCCACCACAAATTGATGAATTACATGGTATCAGTCTTGTGTCCGTTAATGATGGTGGGTATGCTCATATGCCCAATTTTCTAAATCTAGATTAGTTTTGTTTTTGAAAAATTAACTTTAATTAATGGNATGCCTTGAAATTTACTGTATCTCTTCATTTTACTCATTTACTGTGCACACACACACACACATAGACACATAAATATATACACACACATGCATATAAATGTCATGTTCTCCTTGATGACTTTTACTTAAAAGTCCCAATAAAAGTCCTCTTTAAAAAAATGTTTTTGTCCCAAGTGTCCTATTTAAAAAAAGAAGCTACTTTTATAATAAAAAATTTTCTTAAACAATTTGGGTATAGAAAATATGGCGAAACCAACACATGAATTGATAAAAACTACAGTTGATTGTTTCCAATTATTGTTCCTTGCTAAAATAAAAAAGTTACCTTGTTGCAACATGGTTCTTCTTATGGAACAGAGGAAGTAGAAGCTTTTTCTCATGCAATTTGATTTTCGCTACCTTATTTTCCCCAAGTTATGCCTCACTCTATGAGAAATAAATTTATTACATTTGTTATGCCTCGCTCAGGTAAAAATGTTCTCTTGAATAATGTTCTCAAGTATGTTTGAGTCTTGAAAATTTTCTTGCTGGTCATACCTTTCTATTAGCTAAGTAGATTACTCTGATAGGGTTCAGCTGGTAGGTAATATTATTGGTAAGGATAAGTACTGTGTTCATGGTATCTTATGAATCCTTGTTAAAATGGGCCACTATTTGTCCTGAAGACTTTCCTTCATCCTGCAAAACTAAGCTGACCCTTGTAAGTTGAGCCAAGGCATTGATGCATTGTGCATTGTGCATTTTGGCCCTTTTGGAGCACCAAGAGAGAATCATACTATTCCTGCGCTGGGTCAAGGGTAAAAATTGTAGGGAGTATAAACATCTCTATCCTTTTTAACTCTTCATATGTCCAATTACTGCTACTAAAATTTTATTTTTGGATTTAAAGGCAATCAAAAAGTTTCTGCACTTCGGGAGGCTGGTATTTCATATGTTATTGTAGTTTTATTTATTTATTTATTCCCAAAACATTCCCGGGTAAGGGGAAACTATCAAACTAGAGTGCCTGGGAACAGTTAATTCTCCACAGTTTTTTGCTACTCTACAAGTGACGGTGATGCCTATTGCCTGGAGCTCTTTGATCAAAGGTGAGCACGGCTAATGAGGCATATTTGCCTGTCTGCCGTGCCGTTAGGGCTTTAGTTAAAATATTTAATGGCATGGAAACAAAAAATGTGATAGCCTCATTGCTGGCTTGTATATTTGTTTTTATTTATTTTTTAGGGTGATTGCTTATTTGTTGTCCTTTGAGTTTCAGGTTCGTCTGGTTACAGACAAGACAAACAACAAGCCCAGAGGTTATGCCTTTATTGAGTATGTTCATAGCCGGGATATGAAAGGTTGTTATTCTTCACAATCTTATCTTACTCCATATTTTTTTTCCATTTGATTGTATCGTTATTAAGATTTCTTTACTAATTCTGCACTTGCACGCATTTCAGCTGCATACAAACAAGCTGATGGGAAGAAGATCGATAACAGAAGGGTGCTTGTTGATGTTGAAAGGGGAAGAACAGTCCAGAATTGGCGGCCTCGTAGACTTGGTGGTGGACTTGGAACCACGAGGGTTGGAATTGAAGAGCTTAGCCAGAAGTCTTCTGGGAGGTAAGTATTTTTGTGGCAACATTTGGCATTCAATTTTAAATACACTGATAACACACTTATGCACTTTCGATTACAGGGATCACATTGTTAAATATATCTTCATCCCTTTAAAAAGTTGTTTGAAAAGCTTTTTTTCACTGAAAATAAGATTCATATTTCATCAGATCAGGATAATTGTTCATGTAATTTGCCACATAAAGAGTTACGAACAAGTTACATGCAAACCAAAACCAAAAATTGCAATATCAGAAAATGTGAATCTGATATTTAATTTGTGATCTCCTTGGCAAAAAGCTCTTATTTCTATCTGAATTTTAATTTCAAACCCCGCCTTTCTCTTCACCCCAATTTTCATTTTCTTGCACATATTAAAATTGAATGTTTTCTGTGTTCTTCAAAAGAATAAGCACCACTTATGTTGGCCTTCCAATTGTTCAGGGAGCAAGTGCAACCGGGAGGAACATCTCGGTCTGAGGAACCAAGGATACGAGATGACAGAGAGAGGTATGTGGCTTTCTCTTCATACCCAAATAAATACTCTCTCCGTCCCCGAAAGAAATACACGGTTTGACTTCATGTAGTTTAAGAAAGTTGATGAATTCTGTATACAGAATTTGTTTAAAGAGAGAAATGTTGTTAGCTATTTATAATCATCTACTTTTTATGGCAACAAAAAAAGTGGAAAGTTTATTTTGGGGCGGACAAGAAATGGTAAATGTAATTTCTTTTGGTTGTTGAGGGAGTATATTTTTGTAACATTCATTTTCTCTGAACGGAAGATTTTAAAAGAACATGATGCCCAGTGTATGTATTAAATGAATTGATGGGCACAATAATATTTCAGGGACAGAGAGAAGTCCCGTGAGAGGCCTAGAGAAAGAGAGAGGGAACGTGAAAAGTCTCGCGAGCGCTCACATGACAGGCCAAAAGATCGCGAACACAGGGATGAGAGACACCACAGGGATCGTGAGAGAACCAGGGATTCTAGGGATAAGGACCGTGGTCGTGACCGAGACCGAGACCGCGGGAAGAAACGCGACCGGGATTATGAACGCGAAAGAGGAGACCGCCACAGAGATAGAGACAGAGGGAAAGACTATGACTTTGATGTTGAGAATGATCGTGGCCGTTCTCGCGACCGTGGTTATGATTATGATCACGAGCAAGACCGGCATGGTGAGAAGGAGAGGAACCTTGATCACGAGGACGAATGGTGGTATGATCAGCCCGGTTATACAGGCGGGCATAACGGTCGGCGTTCGGATGGTGGGGACCGCCGGGGACACTATGACCACCGCCACCACCAAAGCCGCCGCGGTGAGTTTGATGATGATGATGATGATCCAGATGCACGCGAGAGAGGAGAGGATGATGGTGATGACGACCGTTACAAAGATTCTGGGCGTGGTGAACGGATGGATGAGGACGAGGAAGACTATGGGTACGACCGCCCGTCAGAGAAGGAGCATCGGCGGGCAGATAGGACAGCTGCTTTCCATGATTATGAGCATTAGTAGTTAATGATAATGCATTCAACTTTGAAAGGCAGGCAGGCACAGACACACAGACCATCAGGTGTGTGTTCTTATTTTACTAATACTATATGCATATGCTGATTGATGATGGTCGGAGATGCTATTATCGCTCCTCTGCTGCAGTTTTTTTTCCCCACCTATCTCTCTCTCCCCCCCCCCCCTTCCCCCCGATGTGCTTCAGAGACTCAGGTGATGGGGGTGGGTGGGCAGCTTTTCATGTAATTCTGGAGCTTAGTATTTATCTGGGTAAACATACATTTCTGAGACTTGGTTGTTTTGACAGAATTGTACTTTGGTTGAGGCAATTAGTGTGAAGTGTGAACTAAATATCCAAAGATTGCTTTTTAAAATCTACTGTGACAATCTTACGCTCCGTTTGGTACATGGAATTAATCTATGGAATTAGAATTAGGGACAATGATTCAAATTTTGCTGTTTGGTACTTTGGTAGCACAAAAACATGTGGATTTGGAATGGTAGTGTTTTTTCCTACAGACAATATAGTCAACAAATACGGTGTGAAACATGCAGAGTATTAGAAATGTGAGAGAAGTGAAATCGATACTAGAAGAGAAGTGATGAGGACTAATCTCTCTCGACGACCTTGAGTACCGGGATATACTTTTTTTTAATAGAATTACTCCCTCCGTCCCGCTATATTCGTCCACTTTTGACTTTTGGAACTGTTCATTTAAGCACTTTGACTCATCAAATTCTCACAATGTGTAAGCCTAAATATAGTCATGCGTAATCTTGTTTGATTTGTCTTAACATATAGATTATTAATATATAATTTCTATAATTTTTTAATATATAAATTACAAGATAAAATAGATTAAAGAAGTGTATTGGATGGTGTGCAAAAATAAAAGTGGACAAATATAGTGGGACGGAGGGAGTATAATTTTTTACTAAATATCATTAAGTTAACATCAAGGACACACTAGTACGGAGTATTTGTTTTTTTTCGTCATGTTTAAATGATAATTTTATGAGATATAAAAAAATAAACTGAGTACAACATGAATATAGTACTCCTAGTAAAATAGAAGTTTATCTTTTATTTTTAAAATAATAGCTACAATGTTAATAATGTTACTAATATACAATACGAAAAAAATACTATGTAATGTCAATATATAATGACATATAATTACAATCCAAACATTTATTTTGAGAATAAAATATATTGCTTCTATTTTGGAGATAAAAGTTAGGGTATACTTCACTCACATTTTAAGCGATTTTCATAATTTTATTAGGTTCATCTTATAATATTTTATAAACTATTCTTTATTAAAACTCATATACATATAATTTTTCTTAAATTATAAGTCAAATATAAAAATCTTAAACTAGACAAACACACATATCATTCACAATGGAAAACATAATAGGAAGTGGCGAGTCTAGTGACAAGTGAGTGGTTTTTCATTTATCAAGGTAAATAATTAGGAGAATTGGCACTCAAAAAATATTAGTTGCACTCCATTTATATGTTTAAAGCTAGATATTGACAAGAATGCCGTTTAAAATTTTTCTTATATTTTTATGTCAAATTACCTTCAAAATAAAAATGAGTTTTAATCCGTAAAGGGCGTGTTAGAGATTAGCGTTAGCGTTTTGGATAAAATTTTAACGGTGTAGATTATTTGTAAATGTTAATGCTAAACGTTGTCCGTAGATAGCATTTTCAAAACGCTAACGCTAACTCTAACGCTTTTCCCAAAGAGGCTCAGAGAAAAAGACGCATGAATTCTAACATTCCATATTTGACAAGTGGAATAAATTTTAAATACTCCGATTCGCATTTATTAATGGCCAAATTCTGCAACCATTTGTCCAAAAAGATCAAATTCTAAATAATTTTTTGAGGCGAATGAAGTATTCTATTACGATTACGACATACTTAACGAGGCTTGATGGAGGGTGTAATAGGTACGATGTGGTGTGATAAAATTATATGTGGCCGATGTTGGTGAAGCTGAGATTGAGTTGCTGTCGGGAAGCCATTCTTTTTTTTTTTTTTTTTTGAGTGGCGCAATCATCTAGTGCGGCGGCTCCTTGGCCCTTGCAACCTTCTAGTGCAGCGGCGGCGACCAAAGTTTGCAGCCGTGACTAATCGATTTGGAACATGGTGTGCGGCAGATTGGGTTGGTAGTTACATGAGTAATTTCGAAATTACTATACCTTCGGTTTGTGATAAGAACTCACATGTCCTATTTTTTAAAAAAATTGTACTCCGGGTATCTTTAATTATCTGAACACTAACTTCAGGGGGACATCCTATTCATCATTATGTCAAAATTAATTTTCCTAGTTATCTTTTTATCATTTTCTTCCTAAAAATTACTGTTAGGTACCTTCAATTTTGTAGAAATAACTTTTGATCCTATCATTTTTAAAAATATACTCCGGATATCCTAAAATATCTAAAAACTAGCTCTAGATGAATTTTCTTTCTTTCCTTTATTATTATTATTATTGATATTATTATTGAAGTATTATTGTTATTAATATTAATATTATTATTCTTCGATTATTATTATTATTATTATTATTGTGTGATTATTACTATTATTACTATTACTAATATTATTATTATATTATTATTATTATTATATTATTGTAATTATTACTATTACTATTACTATTACTGGTATTATTATTATGGATTATTATTATTATTATTACTCACTTCATCATTGTCCACTGCAGCTGTCACTCGTTGCCGCTTTGCCTATTGAGCTGTGTTGGATTGTCATAATAATAATAATATAAAAATAATAATAAAAATAATTATTAATACGTAATAATAATAATAGTGATGGTAATAATAATAGTAATAGTAATCACAATTATAATAATAATAATAATAATAATAATAATAATAATAATAATAATAATAAAAGGAAAAAAATGAAAATTCCCCAGAGTAAGTTTTTTGATATTTCAGGGTACCCCCGAATATATTTTAAAAATGATAAGACCTAAAATTTATTTCTACAAAATTGGGGTTAGCTAACAACAATTTTGGGAAGATTATGATGAAAAGATAACGGAGAAAATGAATTTGCCGGATGAAGTGACGAAATGTCCTTCCAGATTTAGTTTTCGGATGATTAAAGGTACCCCGAAGTATATTTTTTAAAAAGATGAAACATGTGAGTTCTTATCACAAAACTGAGGGTATTAGGCAGCAAGTTTTTGGGGAAAAATTCCTCCAAAAAAATGAAAAAAATTAAAACGGCTAGAATTCATATTTATGTCTTTTTTTATTTAACTTATACATGTATTCATTTCCTTTTTTTAATTTATTTCCATGTTTTCACTGATTATTTGATAAAATAAAATATTATTGACATATCTTGTTACATAAAGATTTTGATATACTTTTAATGCATGAAAATTTTGATATAGTTTTAAAAAATGTAATATACATTTTTTAATTTTATACCTTGTTATAAATAAAATAAATTCAAGAGTGTTTTTAATCTACTCGCTTAATGGCTAAATTCATACATTTCATCTATATTTGCTAAACTCACACCCACTAAAATAAATTTATTATTAGCATGGAATTAGCAAAATTAGGTGAGAGATGAAAGGAAATACTCCCTCCATCCTTAAAGAGGTTCTTGGTTTAATTTAAAATAAAGTTTAAGAAAACTTAAAATGTATGATTGAAAGTTATGCAGAAGACAAAGAAAGTTCGCGAGTTGCTCAATTTTTTACAAAAATAAGAAAGACAGTTTTTTTAGATGTCCTTAAAATTAAATAAGATTTTTTTAAGAATGTAGAGAACAAAATTTCACTCCTCCGGTCCCAAAATGGTTTTCACTTTACACAAAAAAAAAATTGGATTTTCATTTTTTTTAAATTCATTTTATTTAAAGATTGATGTAGAAATTAAAAATAAAATCTACACATTTAAAAACCATTTCAAAAGTCTTACAAAAAGAAATGTAATAAGAATATTTTTTTTATCAAATAATTAATCAAAATACACAAAAATAAAAGTGTCTATTACCTTTGACTAATGAATATTGTAATTCCTTTTGGGAAGGAATATATTATTCAAAATGAGACTACGAATTACGGAATACTATTGTATACGAAGTACATTATTCAAACGGGTCCTAATTATTTTAGGCGTTAGTGTTTAATTTGATCACGAATTGACTATAATAAAAAAGATGAACATCTATGGACATTGAATGCTGGGAATGCAAGGAAGTAGATCCGAGTTTGAACCTTCACAAATGCATCCGAGTTTGAAATTCAATTTAATTGGTCGGGACCAAGAAGACTCCTAGGGATGAGTTCATCTTTTTTTAAAGAAATGAAGTGGCCTTTCCGTAAATAAGCAACCGTCTTGTGGCAAACACGTCCTGTAAAACCGATGCGTTTCCCGCCTTTGCTTCTGACACTATCATTTGTAGTTTTTACCGTAAGATATTACTGTATTTTTTTTTATTTTTAGTATCCCCAGAAATAGTGAAGAGTCACTGTTTTCATCCATAGTGCCTCCATTTTCTTCCTTTCTCTCTGTAAGTTTTGAAACCCCTTTTGATTTACTCCACCATTCCTGGTAAGGGTTTATGTTTTTATTAATGTTAAATTTTTAATTTTGGAGAAGAAATTTGAAATTTTGTCCGAAGAATTTTCAAGTTTTGTGCCCTAATTTCCAGTTTTTCATTTCAATCTTCCATTTTCAAGACACTTTCTGGTGATGCTAAAAGGAGATTTACTTTTCTCTTATTTATTCCGACTTTTGCGGCGGTGTTTTGACTCGATTTTGTTTGTGAAGAAGGAATGGCTATGGAAGAGATGGGGAACGGAGATATGGGCAAACCGCTTGCAGATTCTCCGACTTCTGTTCTAGAGGATGAGGTTTCTGTTTTGGTCTTTTCGTTTTCTTATTTCTTATGTTTTTTTTATGTTCTTCCTAATTAGAGTGTCTAGGATTACTGGTTTTTACTAATATGTGCTTGGTTCTCTGTAAATGTTGCTGCCTGCAGAATCCTTCCAAGGGGACACAGGTCAAAGTGGAGGAAGAAGTATTCTTAGATGCAAAAAATGGGGATTCTTCTTGTGTATCGGAATCCATGGTGAAGGAGGAAGAGGTGCTTTTGGGAAACCGTGGGAAGGAGGAAGAAGAAAGCGTGGAGGAAAAGAAGGCAGTTGACCTGAACGAAACTCAGTTCTCAAAACTGGACGAACTTCTCACGCAGACCCAACTTTATTCGGAATTTCTGCTCGAGAAAATGGATGATATCACTGTGGTATTGTCATCCTGCGGTTTCTTGTGTGGAACATTTACACTATGTTTGGTTCAAAGAATTTAAAAGAGAAAAGAAAAGAAAATGAAATAGAAAACAGTTTTTCATGTTTGGTTGTAGAGGAA